TTTCCTTTTAAGGAAAACAATATGTCCTTTATAATAATTTTCTCATCCAAGTATATACTACCTCCGTTCTCTTTTAGTTGCAACGTTGGACTTTTTGCACTATTCACATATTCTACTTTGACTACATTTTATTAATTGATGTATTATAAATTAAATTTTTAAAAAATATTGTTAAATTCTTCTCATTCTAAATTTTCAAAATATGATTTTATTTTTTTAAATTTTTTACTAATACGGAATGAAAGATATTAATGGTCAAACTTGTGCGTTGGTAAACGTGAAAAGTTGACTGTTGCAATTAAAAAGGAACGGAGGAAGTATATATATATATATATATATTTATTTACCACACTGTTGTCACTTTCTTAAATTTCAAGCCCAGTTAAAGTAGTAATGTTAAGATTAACTCACAAAAAAGAAAATATAGATCTTTTTCATGAAAATGGCTTCCCAATTTCAAAACAGATTCCACAATAGTTCAAAGACTTACTGTGAATATTTTTGTGGTGCCAAACAGAGGAAAAGCATTCCAGGAAAACATGCCATACACAAGAACATTCAGAACTATCAGAAAGAATTTCCAAGCAGATACTTTCCGCGAAGCAATTTTAATGCATAAAAATTTCAGTATTTCAGAACATTCAATGTAAGCGTATTCTCCTTCACAACGGCAGTGTATCACAAATTCTTAAGCTCTACTAGGCAAAGGATTCATCAACTGTACACAATTGATTGAAATAATTTAAAAAACTGCCTGCTTAGAGCCTTAGACTTCCACATCTGAAGTGTTGGGAGTCGATTTCTTTCCGGCTCAGGTCTCCAACCCTTTTGCTATACTCTCACACACCACCCTAGGCTAGACCACAACACAACTCCAAGCTTCTTCTCTACCACTAAGGTATTCTCTCTCACACTCTCACACAAAGGAAATGGAGAAGAAGAAGAAGGGCACTGCTCTCTCTAAGATTCACGCAGGCTGTTTCAACAAGGGAGAAGCAAAGCTACTAAATAATAGGCTGGTAGACACAAGGACACTCACATGTGATGCAAAGACAAGGAGGGCAGCACAGGACAGCTCAAAGGGGTCACTCCACATAAGTCAAAATGGCCATATTATTGGTTAGGAGAGATTCAAATAAAGAGGTGCCAAAGTGGGAGTAAACATGGGGTGCAAGTCAATAATAAAGTGGAAGGGAGGCCTTGGTAGGACCAATACCTCCAACATTCTCCACCTTATTGGTCCTAGGTGGTGTAGAGTAGCAATACAAAGTTGTGAGGAGACTCATCATCGCCGGACCATTACAAGTACATCATTGCGATCATACAAGTAATAGATGAGAACCAAAGTTCCCTTTCGGACCAAGCTTACCGTGCAAACCCACTTCACGATGGACTGAACTCTACCAATCGGTCCTCGAGTTCAGAACCAAAACCATCACAAAACTATTAACAAGCACAACACATGTTAATAGACCACGCAAGCAAGCATCCGGGAGAAGTTGGGGATTCCAACTAATCCAACAACCACACAAAGCAAGTACAAAGAAAATAAAAGAAACAATATTATTTCTATAACTAGCACAGGCGGAGCTCACATAATCACATGGTATCACATTTTCAAAACACAAAGAAAATAGCATACCAAATATCACAAAGATTTTAATTAAAAGAGAATTAAGCACATTTAAAGCAGACTCAGTGGAAATATAGTCAAACACATTGCACATATTATTTCTCACATGCTTCCTAATGTCTCTATCTCTAATAACATGGCAATCACGCAACTCAAGCATATTGCACACAACATTCATATCATGCTCCACCTTAATAGAAATATTATTTTCTTTATTTTCAACATGAAAATCATTTTCATCCACAAATTTGGGTTCGGTTTCAACAAGTAAATCGGAATGAACATCAGGCAAATGAGATTCAACAGGCAAATGCTCCACCTCATTTGGAGCAACATCAGGAGAAACAAGCAGGCAAGGAAATTCATTTTCAACAAAAATGACATTTCTACTCATCAACACATTGAAACAAGTTTCACTCCTACACCAAAGCCTATAACCTTTCATGCAATCATGATATCCTAAGAAAACATATTCCTTAGTCCTAGGTTCAGATTTATCATTCACACGATTCACATAAGCAGCACAACCAAACACTCTCAAATTTGGCAAATTAAGTGGTTTGCCCATGAACACAGATTCAGGGCATTTCCCTCCTAAGGGAACAGACGGGGACAGATTAATCAAATCAACAGCATAACAAATAGCTTCCCCCCAGAACTTATTAGAGAGCCCAGATGAAGCTAACATAGCCCTCACCCTCTCTAATAAAGTTCTAACCATCCTCTCAGCAACCCCATCCGGTTGGGGTGTGGAGGGAACAGATTTATGCATAGAAATACCCCAAGTATCACATAAATCACCAAGCTGACTATCACAGAAATCAAAACTGACAGTGGTCCTTAAAAAATTAATTTTCTTACCGGTTTGTTTTTCAACAAGGGTTTTCCAGTTTTTAAACTTATCAAAAACTTCAGATTTATTCTCAATCAACAAAACCCACACTTTCTTTGAAAAATCATCAATCAGTGTCAGAAAATAATTTTTCCCACCATGAGTGGAAACACCATAAGGACCCCACAAGTCAGCATGAATACAATCAAGCACATTAGTACACTTAGGCAGATCAGGAAAACCAACTCTAGACTGTTTTCCTAGCACACAGGGTTGCACACAATTCACAGAATCAAGTAGGGGTTCAGCATGACAAACATACAAGTTGTTTTTCATCTCAGCTTTGAAAACAACTAAACAACCCTTCACAACTTTCATGATTCCCTTTCCCCATTTTCCCTTCAAACCCTCATTTTCAAGAGAAGCACAAGATAGCAAATTACAGCATAGCTCAGGAACATGCCTAACATTCTTCAAAGTAAGCACATAACCAGAAGAAAACCTAAGGCATACATTTCCTATTCCTAGCACATTGCATTTCTTCTTATTTGCTAAAGACACAAAACCATGCTCAATTTCTCTATAGTTTGAAAAAACATTTTTCAAAGGGGACATATGAAAAGTACAACCAGAATCTACCACCCAATCTGATTTACCCAAAGAATCAGATATCACAGAACTCAAATAGTCATAATCACATAGATTTTTCATCATAAGCACATCACCTAAATCATCTACACACGTAGTCAAATTAGCATGCTCACTATGCTCATTTTTCTTAGATTTAGGACAGTCTCTTATGAAATGACCAGATTCGTGACAATAATAGCAACGCCTCGAACTAGACCTAGACTTAGATCTATGTCGTCTACTATTATTTTCTCTACCCCTCACATGCATAACTTCCTCGGATTTTCTACCCTCACCCATCTGTTTTAAATCTAATTCCTTACTCTTAAGACCATTAACCACAATGTCAAGAGTCACATTATCTCTACCATACTTAATAGCAGATTTCACATCACTAAAGGAATCAGGAATAGCATTTAAAAGAGCAATGGGAGAATAATCATCTATATGCTTATCACCACACAACTTAATATCCGAAATAAGTTTGGTAAAAACATCTAGATTTTCTTCAATATCTATAGACATATCTAGTCTAAATTTGAAGAATTTCTCAAGTAAAAATATCCGGTTAGGCAAAGAGGTTTCAGTATACAGTTCATCTAATTTATTCCACAGAATTTTAGCACTCTCTAAAATTCCAACTTTTCTAATCACAGAGTCAGATAAGTTCAAATAAATCACAGAACATGCATTTTCATTCATTTCGGCCCTTTTATCTTCCGTGTCAGAAATTAAATAGGTTTCGCCAACTGCTTTAAAACATTTTTGTTGTATTAAAATACATTTAATTTTTTGCTTCCAAATGCTAAAATCAGATTTTCCATTAAATGGAGCCATACCATACTGATTATAAGCAGACATTTTCACAGAGAAAAAAAAGCAACAAAAGAAAATGTAAATTTCGCTGAAAAACAATTTAAATATTTATAAGGCTACAACTATACGGAGCAACTAGCACGAACACGTGGGGAGTATTAATGAGCACCAAACTCAACTTCCAACCCCTTGTTCTTCCGTATAAGCACAAATAAATAATAAATTTTCAGCACAACACAATACAACAATTCAAACAATTTTAACAGCAATAATAAACCTAAAATATAATTTCTACACAATAAAAGATCAAAATCACTACAAAAGCGATAAAAGGGATAAAAGTAAATATACCGGAGCGAAACCCTAGGAGAGGCATTTCGACCTTACCCACCCAATTAAAATTGGGATTTTTGGACTGTTGACTTGTGTTGACTGTTTTGACTGGTGGTTGATTGGTCCAGTGTCCAGCCCAAGTCCAGCAACAGCTCTACCGTCCAATAACAACTCAGCGGCCCAGAAGCTGTTCAGCCCAGCAGTCCAAGTGGCCCAGTCTAGCAGTTCCTTCAGCAGTCAAGGTGCAGAAGTCCACGTGCAGCAGTCCAATAGCAATCCAGCAGCTCCAGATGTCCAAGTCCGTCCCAGGTTCAGCAACCTTCTCCAGTCCAACCCAAATTCCAGTGAACCAAGCAGCGCAGCTCCATTACTTCACGAACGAACAGGTCGCGTCGAACCAGCTTCCAGGTCCGGCCTCGAATCCAGCGACTCCAAGTCACGAATTGAGCTGGTACCCGGCGACGACCTCTGGTGATGACGGATGGCAGAAGGCGTCCGGTGGTGGCGAGCGGTGAACGGCGAACGGCGGAAACCGACGAACACGACGACGACAACAACCTGCGGTAGCGAGCTTCCAAGCGACGATGGCCTGCAGTGACGACGGTGGGCGGCTCTCAGGCGGCGATTCCAGCGAGACTCAGCTATTGGCGAAGCAAAACCCAGGTCAAGCACAGATCTGCAACCAGCTTCAGGTATTGGCGTTCTGCGACGGAAATCTCCGGCGAACGACTTCCTGACAGGCGGTGGCTTCAGCGGCGGGCGGCGTAGCTCCAGCGGCAAACAACCCACGAGCTCCGGAATCAACGAATGATTCTCGACGAAGCAATCGGCATGCTAAAGAACAACGCCCCAGATCCGGCGAAGCTTCCAGTAGCTTCTACCGGCGGCGTGCGGCGGCGTGAGGCGGCGGAGTACGGCGGCAGACGGCAACCATGCTCTGATACCACTGTTGGGAGTCGATTTCTTTCCAGCTCAGGTCTCCAACCCTTTTGCTATACTCTCACACACCACCCTAGGCTAGACCACAACACAACTCCAAGCTTCTTCTCTACCACTAAGGTATTCTCTCTCACACTCTCACACAAAGGAAATGGAGAAGAAGAAGAAGGGCACTGCTCTCTCTAAGATTCACGCAGGCTGCTTCAACAAGGGAGAAGCAAAGCTACTAAATAATAGGCTGGTAGACACAAGGACACTCACATGTGATGCAAAGACAAGGAGGGCAGCACAGGACAGCTCAAAGGGGTCACTCCACATAAGTCAAAATGGCCATATTATTGGTTAGGAGAGATTCAAATAAAGAGGTGCCAAAGTGGGAGTAAACATGGGGTGCAAGTCAATAATAAAGTGGAAGGGAGGCCTTGGTAGGACCAATACCTCCAACATGAAGATATAATTTACAAACAAATAATACCTTAGCATACTTCTCTTGTTTCTTTTTCAAAACCTTTAGCTATACATGTGCAATCAAAATATGTAGGGTACCACTGGAACTTAATAAAAATAAGAAGCATTTGAATCTTGTGTAAAATATAACTACAAAGATAATCACAACATTGATGGACTAAATTTTATCATTGAGTTCACACAGCACCTGATGCATATAACTGCGGAAAATCTCATTCTGCTTCTTCAATTTCTGTACAAAGCGTCTAGGAGCAATCACACCCGTTTTCTTCTTTTGTGAGCTAATCTGCACAAAGAAGTTAGGCAAGGCCCACAAATTAAACTAAAAAGTTGTCATTAATCATTACATATAATACACTTCAGAATATGTGTTCACATATTATGAAGATACATTGAAGCAACAATACGAAAATACTCCCACTATCGAATTTTGCAAGTCTCACTTTTTTTAAGTTTGTCACACAATAACACCGACTTCCCTTTTTAACAATCAAGCATCACCTGCATAAATAAGTCTGCCAGGCATGTCAAGAGACTTTCATCTGCATCAACAAGGTTTTTGTTATTTGAATAGTACTCCAGTAGCTGTTCCCGAAATGGAACACAGAAATACAGAGCCTGCATTGAGAAAAAGATAGGATGATGATTGAAGAAAATACGTATATATCTTCTTTAGTTCTTTGTAAAATTACATAAGATTTTCACTTATTATATTAAAATCCTAACCAAATGTAAATAGATTTAAACAAATAGATTCATACCCAGAAAAGGAACAGGTTAGAGTATATGAGGTTAAAGTTTTAGTTTTTCTTCAGTATAATCAAAAGTTAGCGACTAGAAGTGAAAATCTTTTAAGTGACGTGAACAAGGAACGATCTTTAATGCATAGATCATTGAAGGTTTCCAATGGGACAATGAATGGGTTAACAACGACATTGTCCATCCCAATGATGATCTTTTATGAAGTCAAGTTGATGAAGTTGTGGGTGCATCAACACCTCAGTTTTTCCTGCAGCATTGATTCTGCTCTCCTTTATCTTTTCTGGTTTGACCTGCAACTCCCATTCTTCTGTTAGACACTTGGGTAGGGGCTGTGTGGGAGTTGTAGTAGGGACTGCTTTCTTCAAAAGGGACATATGAAAGACAGGGTGCACCTTACAGCCCTCTGGCAGCTTCAATTTGTAAGCTACAGGATTGATGTGCTCAATGACTTCAAAAGGGCCATAAAATCTGGGACTTAGCTTTTGGTTCATCCTTCTGGCTAAGGTTTTAAGCTTGTACTGCTGAATCTTTAAATACACCCACTCTCCTACCCCAAGTGGAACAACCCTCCTTCTCTTATCAGCTTGTTGTTTCATCTCATTCTGTGCTATGGACAAGTTATTCTTCAACTCCTCTATTATCCCATTTCTTTCAGCTGTCAGCCTGCTCACCTCTTCCACAGCTGCTAATGTGACATCCCCTCTAATTAATACTGGTGGATCCTGCCCATACAAATAATACAAAGCCTTATAGGGAGTATTCTTAGTAGACACATGGTAGTTTGTGTTGTACCAAAATTCAGCCCAGGGTAACCATTGAGGCCATTGCTTGGGTTTCCTTCCAGTCATGCACCTGAGATAAGTTTCAACACACCTGTTTACCACTTCAGTTTGCCCATCTGTGTGGGGGTGATATGCTGTACTAAATTTCAACTTAGTCCCAGCTAATTTGAATAATTCAGTCCAAAAGGCACTTAAGAACACCCTGTCTCTATCTGATACTATTGTCTTGGGAAAACCATGTAGCCTGACAACCTCCTGAATGAAGACTTCTGTCACACTTTTAGCATTATAGGGATGTGAGAGAGCTATGAAGTGTGCAAATTTTGTTAATCTGTCCACCACCACTAAAATGGTGTCCTTCCCTTGAGCTTTAGGTAAACCCCCAATGAAGTCCATGCTGAGGTCAGTCCAAATCTGATTAGGAATTGGTAATGGTTGCAGCAATCCTGCAGGGCTCAGAGTCTGGTATTTATTTCTTTGGCATACCTCACACTGCTGCACATACTGCTTAATGTCTGATCTCAGTCCAAGGATGTTTTTACTTGGACTGTTTTCAGTTCCAGACTGGACCAGATCAGACTTAACAAATCAGACAAGACTAGACCTGACTTCCGTAGTTCGTAGTTATAAAATACACAGAGACGGGATATTTACCAGGCCATACCAGTCCAGACTAAATCAAATTAGAACAGACTTAAACAGATCAGACCATCAAATTACAGTCCAAGAAAAAATATTCTTTGTGAAAAGGGTTTACAATTAATTTCAATTGATGATTTATTGAGGCAGTTAACACTATTACTAAATGTCATGTAATCCAAAATTTAAATTACACCGTACATGTAATGTTAGATAGTTTTACACAATTGCAATGGATTTCTTCCAAAACATGAAAACTCGCGGTGACTGACGTGCAGTTTGTCGTGATGTGCACTCAAAATAAATATCAATACAACAATTATACGTAGTATAATGAAGTAAGGTTCGTATCCGCAAGGAAAGGAATACTTCTCTTTTTATAAACTAGTAACAAGGGGGGGTTTAGATTGAGTGAATGAACTTAAATTATATTTAAACACAAAGATGAACGAGTTATGTGGTTTAATTAATGAGAAGAAAACTTGGCTTTGCTTTTATCCACTTAATGAAATGTTCGTCGATTCCGGTTATATCTTTAACTATCTTCCTCTCGAATACTCAATCGAGGAGTATATCCAGTTCATCGAGGGTAGTTATTAATAACGAGACGCGTTCATTAATAAAACTTACTACCGAGTTGATATAGAACACGCGCCATATATTCACTCGATAGTAGCAATAAAATAGAGATGAAAACGATTGAGATTGATAACTTCAACACAAGCGGTTTATCGGTTTAATCAATATAATTAATTCCCCTTAGGTTATTAACCATGAGACGCATGCATTAACAACCCAAGTTTACTACCGTGAAAGGATCGAATTAATAACAAGCGTATTAATCGACCGATTCTAGTATTAATTAATATATACTCCGTAAAACAAAACTAGTTGATCCTTTAAGTAATGCTCAAAATATTAATATGTAATAGGAATAGGAATTAGTTAATATTCAAGGAAGAAGATTAAAGAAAATAACTCACAACTTACAATTCATTAAGCTTCAAAGTAGCAAAACCAAGATGGAAGAGTTTAGCTCCTCATTTGGAGACTAAACATGATGAAAAATATAAAGAAAGAACTTGTCTAAACTGAGCTAAGAAGTATATGTGAATTGGTCTCTAATTGTGAAGGAAAGGGGGTGTATTTATAGGCTTTTTTGGGGTGCAGGTCGGGTACTCGATCGAGTATGTGTAGAAACTCGAATTCGATCCATACTCGATCGAATTTAGAGTAAAATTTATAGCTATACCCGATCGAGTATGTCGGTGTACCCGATCGGGTATAGACACTCGATCGTGGTCAAAATCTTCCCTGCATGTTCCTTTGTTTTCGGATCCGATCCGATTTGAAATTTCAACAAGATACCCGATCGAGTATAGATGATACTCGACCGGGTATAGACCAAAAATCAGGATCTTCCCTTTTGTCTTGTGATTTTGCACCTTCCTTCCACTTTTATGGTTCACCAACTGTCCTTTGAGTGATAGTAGACCTGTTTGAGCTCAGAATAAACCTAATCTAAGCAATTTACAAGAATTTAACAAACTAAACTATTACACCAAAAAAGTGTGTAATTTCCGAAATATTAAACAACCAAAACTAACTAAAAACGTAAACAATCACACGGAAATTACAAGCGTATCAGTGACCATTGTAATGTGGTTTGTTAAACTTTTTACACGGTAATAATAATACAATCAGGGGCGGAAGCAGGACGATGTATATGAGTGGGCCGATAAAGAATATTTTTGAAAGTTTTTTAATACTATTTTTTAACCTTAATAATTTAAATAAAATTAAAATTCCAGGTGAGTTGGGGCCTAAGTTGACCCGTAGCAACGCCCCTAAATACAATAATACATTATAATTTTTTTATTCTTTCTTAAGATTTTTTAATAACACTACCCCTAATAAAACTTTTTCCTTGATCCACCACGGCAAACTATGTAAATATGATTTATATATTTGGAAACAACAAAACAATGGGATATCGTGCAAAAATTAAAGAAATGACAAGAGTGGAGAGGTGCTCAATAACTCAAGAAGTATTTTAGAATAGTATTTGATATCAAGACAATGTGTGTTACATCAAAAACTCGAATAACTTTAAGGAAAATTCTAGGGAAAACTATCAAATAGGTCCTCAAACTTTCATAAAAAGGTCAATTAAGTCCTTCTATAGGATATTATGTCCGGCCGTCGCGATTTGGGGCAGTTCCCGGTGGAATTTTTTAATAATTTTTTTTGAGCATCATATTCACCAAGTCTAGTTTACTCATACCAAATTTCAGCTAAACATTCAATCGGGAACACATCCAAATTAATTCTTGAAGATAACTGCGCATTTTTGTGTTCTCGAATTAATTTGAATGCGCTCCCGATTAAATTTTTAGCTGAAATTTGGTATGAGTAAACTAGGATTGATGAATAAGATGCTCAAAATATTTCATCAAAAAATTCCACCGGGAACCGCCCCAAATCGAGACGACCGGACAAAGTCTCCTATAGAAGGACTTAATTGACTTTTTTATGAAAGTTCGAGGGCCTATTTGACAGTTTTCCCAAAATTCTACTGTGCATTCGTTAATTTTGAAGGTACCGGTACCCAAGTTTTTAAGCCAATCAAATTATGACACATCACCATCCTATATTAACATACTCTATAGTTATCTATAATTGCTAATATGTCACACCTCAAACCATGAAAATTGCAGAGGATGTAGATGTTGGCTCTAACCTTCCAAAATCAACGTGTGGACCGTGTTGCTCCTAAGTTGACCTCGTTGACAAT